GAGAGAGACACACACAGAGACAAAGAGAGAGACGCACACACAGAGAGACACACACACACACAGAGACAGAGAGAGCGACACACACACACACAGAGACAGAGAGAGACACACACAGAGACAGACAGAGAGATGCACACACAGAGACAGAGAGAGACAGAGAGAGAGACGCACACACAGAGACAGAGAGACTCACAGAGAGAGAGACTCACACACAGAGACAGAGAGACTCACAGAGAGAGAGACTCAGAGAGAGATACTGAGAAAGGAACATGACAGAAAGCTGACTTGTCTCTTGTGTTGTTATAAGTTGTGATATTTTGAGTTTAGTTTTTCTAGTTTTTCTTGTTAAATCCGTCTGATCCAGTGCAGAACAGACAGAACAGATCTGTGGTAAAGAGCTGCTGTGATATTTCTCATGTTCTGGATTCGCTGAGTGTATATTTGACATAGATTCAACACTGGGCTGTGACAAACCTCAGATGTTTGTGTGACAGAGAAACCAGGGCCAGGGCCGAGGAGGGACCTTTACCTTCAGAGAATTATCTGTGGAAAGCAGTTTTCTGTGACCCTTACACTTGGTTCACATTAGTTCATGCATTAAACCAATATTTCTTCTACTTTTGGTACAACCTTTGAACTTCAAGCGCATATTTGCAACCGAAATATACCGAAATACGTTTTGCCTGAATGTGCAATGTTCAAGCAAAAGAAAACACACAAAATGTACCATACACACGTCACATGTCGAACATCTGTGCAATATCTTAATGTCAGAATGTGCAATACAGAACAGGGCGGGGCGATATGGCTGAAAACGATATCACGATATAAGTCATTCATATCGGTCAATAACGATATATGTTGTTTTTGTTTTTGGTTTTTTTACTTGAATAATTACGTTTGTCGTGTCGGCTAACACACGTTACTGTAGCAGCCTTGTTTACAGTCACGGGTGAATAAGGCTCGAGGAATATGTTCACAAGCAGTCTCCCCCATAGTTAGTCCTGGTGTAATCCTGGTTTAGTCCTGGTTTATTTCCTGTTTTGTGTCCCCATGACGGCTCCGTGGGGCCCCTCTCTGATAGCCGAACGGAGGATAAAGTTCTTCTCTTGCTTTCGCCACACGCATCCGTGTCCACTGCCTCTCCCGCGCCACACATGCTATGCCTCGCACGGACATGGACGCTACGCATGGTGCAGTTGTTGTTTTTGCATTTCTCAGAATGTTTTGCGGTTCATGCTTGAATGTGATTGGTTGAGAAGCCTATGCCTACATCCCCCAGAATGCTGCGCGCTTCTGACTCGCTTAACTATCGAACATTCTATCGACCCCGTTTTCTATTGATATTGAACATGTGTCTATCGCGATATATATACCGTTATCGTTATATCGCCCAGCCCTAAAAACAGAACCACATGTGTCACTGTTGCTCTACTTCAGGGGTGGGCAAACCCCGGCCCGTGGGTCAGATGCGGCCCTTTAGATGTTTCTATCAGGCCCTCTTCAGTTTTTGTAGATCTACTTTAAAGACTATAAAAAAGTGTTTCCTGCAGAGCTCTGGAGCCGCAGTTGTGCTCCTCGCTCTGCTGCAGTTCATGATATTTGATAATATATATTTGTATAATTATATATTTATGTGTACAACATTGAAAAGCCTGAGAAAAATAATGTAAATGATTAGGTCTGGCCCCCAACAGTAGACTGGTGTTCCAATGTGGCCTTCAGGAGGAGAAGTTAGCCCATGCCTGCTCTACTCAGCCACGTGTACAGATGTTTTATACTCGCTTCTTTATTGTGCTAAAGTTAGAGATTTTATACTCTTGATCTCGTCCTCTCTTATGTCTGTGTGTGTGTGTGTGCGTGTGTGTTGTGCAGGGCCAGTTGTGTGGTCTGCTGCAGTCCTGTCAGGAGCTGCTGTCCCAGGGGGCGCTGTGTCCCGACCTGCTCTGGAACCAGCTCCACAGAGAAGAAGTCAGTTACAAAAGTCTGGTGTGGGGAAAAAAACACTTAAACACACATTGTGATTGATGTGTTTGTGTGTGTCTGTTATTGTATGTTCACAGAAGTTCCCAAAGTTAGAAGTGGTTTTCCATCTTCATTCTTATAACATCATCTCTCTGCAGCACATTCTCGAGAGGTTTGGCTTCTCGTACTTTGTCTCTTTTAGGACTGTGGCTGTAGACCCAGGACTGAGACTGTGTAGACCCAGGACTGAGACTGTGTAGACCCAGGACTGAGACTGTGTAGACCCAGGACTGAGACTGTGTAGACCCAGGACTGAGACTGTGTAGACCCAGGACTGAGACTGTGTAGACCCAGGACTGAGACTGTAGACCCAGGACTGAGGCTGTAGACCCAGGACTGAGACTGTGTAGACCCAGGACTGAGACTGTGTAGACCCAGGACTGAGACTGTGTAGACCCAGGACTGAGACTGTGTAGACCCAGGACTGAGACTGTGTAGACCCAGGACTGAGACTGTGTAGACCCAGGACTGAGACTGTGTAGACCCAGGACTGAGACTGTGTAGATCCAGGACTGAGACTGTGTAGATCCAGGACTGAGACTGTGTAGACCCAGGACTGAGACTGTGTAGACCCAGGACTGAGACTGTGTAGACCCAGGACTGAGACTGTGTAGACCCAGGACTGAGACTGTGTAGACCCAGGACTGAGGCTGTAGACCCAGGACTGAGACTGTGTAGACCCAGGACTGAGACTGTGTAGACCCAGGACTGAGACTGTGTAGACCCAGGACTGAGACTGTGTAGACCCAGGACTGAGACTGTGTAGACCCAGGACTGAGACTGTGTAGACCCAGGACTGAGACTGTGTAGACCCAGGACTGAGACTGTGTAGACCCAGGACTGAGACTGTGTAGACCCAGGACTGAGACTGTGTAGACCCAGGACTGAGACTGTGTAGACCCAGGACTGAGACTGTGTAGACCCAGGACTGAGACTGTGTAGACCCAGGACTGAGACTGTGTAGACCCAGGACTGAGACTGTGTAGACCCAGGACTGAGACTGTGTAGACCCAGGACTGAGACTGTGTAGACCCAGGACTGAGACTGTGTAGACCCAGGACTGAGACTGTGTAGACCCAGGACTGAGACTGTGTAGACCCAGGACTGAGACTGTGTAGACCCAGGACTGAGACTGTGTAGACCCAGGACTGAGACTGTGTAGACCCAGGACTGAGACTGTGTAGACCCAGGACTGAGACTGTGTAGACCCAGGACTGAGACTGTGTAGACCCAGGACTGAGACTGTGTAGACCCAGGACTGAGACTGTGTAGACCCAGGACTGAGACTGTGTAGACCCAGGGCTGAGGCTGAGACTACAGACTGTACAGATATTTATCTTTTGAGTCCAGAAGTGACTAAAGCAAAATATAGACCAGAGAGAATGTGATAACAGCCACTATCGTCTTAAACATGGCAGTATATTTAGGACCTGGGACCTTGGACTGACTTTGCCTGTTGCTGGTGTCTCAGTCAGGCAGGGCGGCCGTGGCTGGTGTCGCAGCTGAAGGCCCTGTGCAGTCTCAGTCCTACAGACGAGACCAGACCGGTCCAACAGCGAGTCCTGACCTGTAAGAGAACCTCATTCCATTTATGTTTGTTTTAATGCCCCGAGGGATTTGAATGTTTTTGATTCATGAGATGGTGGCTCTGAAGGAGACTGTGAACCCTACAAATTCAGGTTGATTTATTGTTTAATGCAGTAATAAATAGAAAATACTTGATGTTTTAATGGGAGTAAAACTGGACATGGACGTCTGTTAACAATTCTTAACATTTCTGGACAATGGTCACTCTCCCTATGAACCTATGTCTCCTGTGTCCTCAGACAACTGCAGTTACACAAATCCATTGAATTGACTTCTACTGGTGCAATTACTAGTTTATTAATATCATCAAAGCAAAAGTTCCATCTGGTCTTTGTCACGAGGCTCATGAGGATCCAACACACAGGATGCAAGAATAAGTGATTTGATAAAAGTAAAAACAAGGCAAAATACAAAACGTAACCAAACAAAGACGTGAATGACAGTGACAGAACAGGGAGAGGTTTAAAACACAAGGTTTAAAAACAGAAGAATATTGACACAGGTGAAAGATGAGGCACGTCCCACAACAGGAAGTAGAACTAAAACAAACAACACACCAGGAAATGACCCTATGTTCCTCCACCAGGGGCGCTGCAGGTGCTGGTGGGAGCTGGGTTTGATGTGGATCAAGTTTCCACAAATAAGAAGCTGTCAGTTTTCTGCTGCTCCGTCCTGGACCTGTTGCTGCTCTGTGAGTCACACGCAAATATATTTACATTTATAAATCACAAATCAGACGTCTGAGCAATTTAAGCCTCTGAAACGTACCGGTGTTTTGTCTATATACATACACACACAAACACGCACACATATACATACACACATGCGCACACCTATACACGCACACACACACACACATATACATACATACACACATACTCACACACACACACACTCTTGCAGGGTTTCTGGAGACGGTTGAGAAGAACGAGAGTCCATCCTCTGCAGCCACAGGAGCCCAGACTTGGTACAGAACTTTATTTAACAATTTCAACCTTTATTTATATATTATTTACAGACAGCACTTTGTAAACCTGGAATTTGACTGTAAGGATCACTGTCCAGCTCTACATCAAACTGTGGGACTTTGCAATGTATTGAAATAAAATTGATTTTTATTTTAATCGTATCTAATTTGCACCATGAGCCAAAACTAAGTCCCTGTTTGTGGCTTCCTGTTTGTGGCTTCCTGTTTGTGACTTCCTGTTTGTGACTTCCTGTTTGTGACTTCCTGTTTGTGACTTCCTGTTTGTGACTTCCTGTTTGTGACTTCCTGTTTGTGACTTGACTTCCTGTTTGTGACTTCCTGTTTATTACAATGATAATAACAATTGTGATGTTATGATCTGCTGCAGGATTGAGCTGTTGGACTCGTCTCTTTGTGGATCGCTGGTTTCTGCGGAGGCTTTTCAGAGGTTTCTCACTCACTGCCTCAGGACGACTCTCACTCACCAGCCTCGACTCACTGGTAAAACCCTAGAGCAGCTCTACATTAAAGTTCTACGTTAAAGCTCTATGTTAAAGCTCTATGTTAAAGCTGGGGGACCTAATCTTTAAACCGCACAAATGAATCCATGTCACATAGACTCTGAAACAGGTCGGTTCTATCACTAGTGGGTCCTGGTCTTGGTCCTGGTCTTGGTCCTGGGCCTGGTCCTGGTCTTGGGTCTTGGTTGTGGTTTTGTTTCTCTTCTTCTTCCTGGTCTTGGTCTTGGTCCTGGTCCTGGTCCTTCTCTAGTTTTCACATGTATCTCTGCCGCTGTCAGCCAATCAGCCCTCAGCCAATCAGCTCTCAGCCCAAAGAGTCCTATAGTAACTCAATATCTCTCATGTTTCTATCATGATACAGAGTCTTAACCCTTTAAGCGCCAAAGTCGCAATATTGCGACAAGCAACATTGCTCACTTAAACAGGCTGTATGTAAAAATGTGGTGCAGAATCTTGTTAATACTTTTCACCAGGGGTTAGTGGACATGTGTGCCTGTAATATGAGCAGCATTTGTGGGTGTGGTTATATTGAAAGTTTTTGAGTAAATTGAGTTTGTAAAACACCTGCGGCGCAGCGGCGCGGAGGCGAAGCAGCAGCGGTAGAGCTGAGAGGAGCGAGAGCAGAGCAGAGGGAGAGAGTGTTTTTTATTTTACTCACGAGGTCTTCAGTACCAGAGAAGTACTTGGTCTGGTACTGGCTCACTCAGATTCAAAGAAGGAAGACACACAGGTGTCCAGTGAAGCAAACACAGACATTATTGGTGACGGGGAGAACGCTCCATAGTCCACAATCAGCCCCAGTACAGCGGCTGCTTGTCCTCCGTGTGGCCGCGGTAGAAGCATTCTGTGAACGCCAAGCAGGGGCCGTGGTGGAGGGGACAGGGGCATCATAACACCGGGCATGTGGGAGAAAGTAGCGGGGGTAAACATCCACGGGGAAGACGGGAGACGCGGGAGAAGTTGCGGGAGAGCCGCGGGAATAAAAACACATCGCTTTTCGCGTTCACTGCCTTTACCAACAGCGATGATGAGGATCAAGGCAGTTCTTGAGAGAAAATAATCCACAAAAGTGGATCAGAAGTGTTGAAGAGCCTGTTGTTTCTTGTTGAGATGATCTGACATGTTCTGAGCCCATTCATTTCATCTCTCTGTTTCTAAACCATAAATTCAGGAGCCTCATTTCCACCGAGAAAAATAGTAAGCCCACCACTTCTTTGAAAGGGAAATATTGAAACCAAACTCCAGATTTCATGACTGTAAACTATAAAGAGAACAGTCTTGATCACTGAAGGTCTTTGAAAATAATACAATTCCGTATGGCCGCGAACCAGTGCTAAAACATTATCTATAATCTGGATCAGGGAATTTATTTCTATCCCAAATTCATTTCATACTAAAGATATTTCACACTGACTGTTTATAGTATTCCCTGATCTAAAAAAAACTCCCAAGCTACAGCTTTTTGAAGTTTTTATACAATAATTAACATTTTCCAAAATGGCCGCCACCTTGATGATGTCACAATATGCAAATTAGATGACGAATCAACTTCCATCCCAAAGTTTGGTTCAAACTGAAGATATTTCTAATTTACAGTATGCCTTTATCTCAAACCATTTTAAAGTTATAGCCTTTTGAAATCTTGAAATCAAAATTGTATATTTTCTTGAAAAAACTCTGGCGCCTAAAGGGTTAAGTTTGTTGTGGTGAAATTTACTTTAGTTAGGTTAAACATACAAGTCTCTCCATGGCCTCGTGCCAAACTATATTAGTGACATGTTAGTCCCATATGAACCAGCCCGGACTCTGAGGAGCACAGGGACTGGCCTCCTGCTGGGACTCTGAGGAGCACAGGGACGGGGCTCCCAGAGTCAGGACTAAACATGGGGAGGCTGCATTTCAGATTCATGCTGCTAAAATCTGGAACAATCTTCCTGAAGATGTGAGACAGGCCTCCTCTCTGACAATGTTTAAAACCAGGTTAAAGACAGTTCTGTTTAGCTGTGCTACAACTGAGGGATTTTATATTTTTATCTTTTATCTGTACTGTGATTATTTATGATTTTCATGCTATTTTAATGCTTTGTTCAGCACTCTGAGTTGCCTTGTGTATGAATTGTGCTATACAGATAAACTTTCCTTGCCATGTCTAAATGTCTAAATGTTCTTGTGTCCAGTGTCTTCAGCCATTTCTCTGCAGAGCGACTGGACCTTTGCTAAAACCTGCCCTCTGCTCACGAGGCTGTTTCGTCAGGTACCATCTGTTGTTTTATTGTTTAATACAGTTTAATCTGGGCCAAAATAATCCCTGGAACTGATCCTGTTTTTCCATTAAGTCTTTTTAATATTCTCCAAATGAATAATAATGTCATGTATGAACTAGCATTAGCATGTTCTCTGTGTCTGCAGCTGACGGTGGCGTTGGAGCTGAAGAAGCTGTTCTCAGACCTGCAGCAGATTCTGTCCACACATGAAGTGAACTGGAGACTGGTCCTGGGGTTTCTCTCCACCGCCGTGGTCTACAGCAGCTCTGCACACGCCACACTCTCAGGTCTCAGAGTCTCTTCAGATTATTTTCCATTTGCAGTAAAACCACATTGGATTACATGTGCAAGAATCCCCAGTGTACAAAACAGTAAACAATTGACTGAAATCGATCTCTCTCTGGTCTCTCTCTCTGGTCTCTCCCTCTGGTCTCTCTGGTCTCTCTCTGGTCCCTCTCTGGTCTCTCTGGTCTCTCTCTCTGGTCTCTCTCTCTGGTCTCTCTCTGGTCCCTCGCTCTTTTCCCTCTCTCTGGTCTCTCACTTGTCTCTCTGGTCTCTCTCTCTGGTCTCTCTCTCTGGTCTCTCTCTGGTCTCTCTCTCTCTGGTCTCTCTCTCTCTGGTCTCTCTCTGGTCTCTCTCTCTGGTCTCTCTCTCTCTGGTCTCTCTCTCTCTGGTCTCTCTCTGGTCTCTCTCTCTGGTCTCTCTCTCTGGTCTCTCTCTGGTCTCTCTCTGGTCTCTCTCTGGTCTCTCTCTCTGGTCTCTCTCTCTGGTCTCTCTCTCTCTGGTCTCTCTCTGGTCTCTCTCTGGTCTCTCTCTCTGGTCTCTCTCTCTGGTCTCTCTCTGGTCTCTCTCTCTCTGGTCTCTCTCTCTGGTCTCTCTCTCTGGTCTCTCTCTCTGGTCTCTCTCTCTGGTCTCTCTCTCTGGTCTCTCCCTCTGGTCTCTCTGGTCTCTCTCTGGTCCCTCTCTGGTCTCTCTGGTCTCTCTCTCTGTTCTCTCACTGGTCTCTCTGGTCTCTCTCTCTGGTCTCTCTCTCTGGTCTCTCTCTTTGGTCTCTCACTGGTCTCTCTGGTCTCTCTCTCTGGTCTCTCTCTGGTCTCTCTCTCTGGTCTCTCTCTCTGGTCTCTCACTGGTCTCTCTGGTCTCTCTCTCTGGTCTCTCTCTCTCTCTGGTCTCTCTCTCTGGTCTCTCACTGGTCTCTCTGGTCTCTCTCTCTGGTCTCTCTCTCTGGTCTCTCTCTCTGGTCTCTCTCTCTGGTCTACTTTCTTTGACTGTGATGTCACCAAACCACACAGTCACAAACTTTTAACGCTGCAGTCATGAAAGTGAAGCAGAATCTTTGTTTCTTTGAGAAAGTAGAGACACTGACGAGCTTCTTAACAACCTGATTTTAGAATGAGACGGTTTCAGCGATGGTGTGTGTGTGTGTTAAAGGTCTGTGTGTGTGTGTGTGTGTGTGTGTGTGTGTGTGTGTGTGTCTGTCAGAGGTCCTGGATGCGATGCTCAGAGCTGCTTTTCAAAGTTACGACCTGGAGAGTCTGATCACGGCCTTCGTTCTGGCTCGACAGGCTGCACTCGAAGGACCGGCTGTGTTCTCCTCCTACAGCCACTGGTTCAAGGTACAGACCAGAGAGAGAGACCAGAGAGAGAGACCAGAGAGAGAGACCAGAGAGAGAGACCAGAGAGAGAGACCAGAGAGAGAGACCAGAGAGAGACCAGAGAGAGACCAGAGAGAGACCAGAGAGAGAGACCAGAGAGAGAGACCAGAGAGAGACCAGAGAGAGACCAGAGAGAGAGACCAGAGAGAGAGACCAGAGAGAGAGACCAGAGAGAGAGACCAGAGAGAGAGACCAGAGAGAGAGACCAGAGAGAGAGACCAGAGAGAGAGACCAGAGAGAGAGACCAGAGAGAGTGAGACCAGAGAGAGTGAGACCAGAGAGAGTGGACCAGAGAGAGTGGACCAGAGAGAGTGGACCAGAGAGAGTGGACCAGAGAGAGTGGACCAGAGAGAGTGGACCAGAGAGAGTGGACCAGAGAGAGTGGACCAGAGAGAGTGGACCAGAGAGAGTGGACCAGAGAGAGTGGACCAGAGAGAGTGGACCAGAGAGAGTGGACCAGAGAGAGTGGACCAGAGAGAGTGGACCAGAGAGAGTGGACCAGAGAGAGTGGACCAGAGAGAGTGGACCAGAGAGAGTGGACCAGAGAGAGTGGACCAGAGAGAGTGGACCAGAGAGAGTGGACCAGAGAGAGTGGACCAGAGAGAGTGGACCAGAGAGAGTGGACCAGAGAGAGTGGACCAGAGAGAGTGGACCAGAGAGAGTGGACCAGAGAGAGTGGACCAGAGAGAGTGGACCAGAGAGAGTGGACCAGAGAGAGTGGACCAGAGAGAGTGGACCAGAGAGAGTGGACCAGAGAGAGTGGACCAGAGAGAGTGGACCAGAGAGAGTGGACCAGAGAGAGTGGACCAGAGAGAGTGGACCAGAGAGAGTGACCAGAGAGAGTGACCAGAGAGAGTGGACCAGAGAGAGTGGACCAGAGAGAGTGGACCAGAGAGAGTGGACCAGAGAGAGTGGACCAGAGAGAGTGGACCAGAGAGAGTGGACCAGAGAGAGTGGACCAGAGAGAGTGGACCAGAGAGAGTGGACCAGAGAGAGTGGACAGAGAGAGAGAGTGGGCCACCAGAGAGAGTGGACCAGAGAGAGTGGACCAGAGAGAGTGGACCAGAGAGAGTGGACCAGAGAGAGTGGACCAGAGAGAGTGGACCAGAGAGAGTGGACCAGAGAGAGTGGACCAGAGAGAGTGGACCAGAGAGAGTGGACCAGAGAGAGTGGACCAGAGAGAGTGGACCAGAGAGAGAGACCAGAGAGAGACCACTTTTTAGCATTTTAACTGCTTTGGGTCTCACAGGTATGGATAGTATTATTGTAAACCATGTGTGTCTCCGTGTGTGTGTCTGTGTCTCTGTCTCCGTGTGTGTGTGTGTGTGTCTGTGTGTGTCTATCTCCCTGTGTGTGTCTCAGAGGTGTTTTGGAGGCAGCAGCAGTCCTCACGCAGCCTCTAAAAAAGCTCTGGTGTTTTTGCTGAAGTTTCTGTCGGACTTGGTGCCGTTCGAGCCTCCTCAGTATCTGAAGGTGACGTCTCTGCTCCGTCACATCCTGAACACGTACAGAAGGTTTTGTGTTCAAGGATTTACCCCAAAACATGGTAGTTTTAAATAGTTTCCCATGTTCTTTCAGGTCCACATACTCCATCCTCCTTTTGTTCTGACGAAGCACCGCAGTCTGCTCCTGGAGTACGTGTCTCTGGCTAAAACCCGACTGGCAGACCTCAAAGTGAGTGTGGTCACAGTTTTTTACATTAGTTTAGTTCATTAAGGAAAGCCCCTTTTCGTCTCATTTTCGAGGGGGTCCTAAACATAACTACAAACATGTAAACACACACACATACATACAAAACAGTTCACAGAGCACTAAGAAAAAGAATATTGTATTACATAAACACACACCACAATAAGAACAAAAACGTGCAAAAAGGCATATGCTCCTTCGCACCCCTTGGAGAGAGACAAAGTAAAACAAACATACAGAATACAGAAATGGATTAAAGGGGAAGAAAATGTATGGATGGAGCCCAGCATTTACTCTCACCTCTCACACAATGAAATCTCTGTATTTTCTCAGTTCGAGAGACTGTATATTTAGTGGTAAGCATTAGCATTAGCATTAGCAATCAGAGAACTGTGTTAGCATTAGCACAGACGTCATTCAGTGAACTGTTGTTAGCATTAGCACAGACGTCATCTGTGAACGATTTGTTGCATTAGCAGGAGACTTCATCAGTGATACAGTGTTAGCATAGCACAAGGACGTCATCTAGAGAAACAGTGTTAGCAAAGTAGAGCACTGACGTCATCAAGAGAACAGAGGAAGCGTTAGCATTAAGCAACACGAGACGTCATCAGAGGACATGTGTTAGCATTAGAACAGAACGTCATCAGAGAACAGGTGTTAAGCAGAGCATTAATTAGCACAGACGTCATCAGGATCAGTGTTAGCTTAGCTCTGACGTGCAATCAGTGTTACAGCGATTAGCATTAGCACAGTCGTCTTCAGAGAACAGTGTTAGCATTAGCAACAGGATCGTCATCAGAGACACAGCGGTAGCATTAGCACAGACGTCATTCAGAGAACAGTGTTAGCATTAGCCACAGACGTCAATACAGAGAACAGTGTTAGCATTAGCACAGACGTCATCAGAGATCAGTGTTAGCATTAGCTGAGCGTCCATCAGTGAAACAGTGGTTGCATTTGCACTGACGGTATTCAGGAAAAGCTGTATAGCACTTAGTCAGACGTCTCCAAGAGTACGGGTGTTATGCATTAGCACAGACTTCTTCAGAGCACGGTGTAGCATGAGACAGACGTGTTTAATCAGAGAACGACAGGCGTTAGCTTTAGCACTGACGTCATCTAGAGATCAGTGTTAGCATTAATTAGCACAGACGTCATCAGAGAACAGGCGTAGCATTAGCAGACAGTCGTCATCAGAGAACCAGTGTTAGCATTAGCACAGGACGTCATCAGAGAACACAAGCGTTAGCCTTTAGCACAGACGTCATCAGAGATCAGTGATAGTTTTGCACAGACGTCATCAGAGAACTGCCGTTAGCATTGAGCAACAGTCGTCTTCAGTGAACAGCTTTTGCATTAGCACTAGGACGTCAGCATGTGATCAGCGTTAGCATCAGGCACAGACGTCATCAGAGAAGAACGAGTGTTAGCATTAGCACAGACGTCCATCCAGAGAACAAGCCGTTAGCATTTAGCAACAGAACGTCCCAATCAGAGATCAGCTGTGTTAAGCATGAGGCACAGACGTCATCAGTGAACGGTGTTAGGCATTCGCACAGAGACCGTCATCAGAGAACGAGAGCGTTAAGCATTAGCACAGACGTCATCAGAGAACAGTGTTAGCGGCATCTCACAGCACTTGAGCCAGCATGCGTCATCTAGAGAAACCAGCGTTAGCATTAGCACAGACGTCATCAAAGAGAACTCAGTGTTAGCATTAGCACAGACGTCTCAGAGACAGGACACACGTCATCAGAGCACCAGTGTTAGCATAGCACAGACGTCATCAGAGAACAGTTAGCATTAGCACACGTCATCAGAGAACAGTCGTTAGCATTAGCACGAGTCATCAGAGAACAGTGTTCCATGCACGAGTATCAGAGAAGTGTTTGCATTAGCCAGACGTCAGCAGAGAACAAGGTCTAGCATTAGCACAGACGTCATCGAACAGCGTTAGCCATTACAGACGTCCTCGAGAACTGGTTAGCATATTAGCACGGACGTCATCAGAGAACCAGTAGTTAGCATTAGCCAGACGTCTCAGATCAGGTTAGCATTAGCACAGACGTCATCGAGAACAGCGTTAGCATTAGCCCAGACGTCATCAGAGAACAGGTTGCATTAGCACCGGACGCTCAGAGAACAGTGTTAGCATTAGCACAGACCGTCTATCAGAGAACAGTGTTAGCATTAGCACAGACGTCATCAGAGAACAGTGTTGCTTTATAGCATTAGATTGCACAGACGTCATCAGAGACAGTAGCATTAGCACAGACGTCATCAGAGAACTGTGTTAGCATTTAGGCACAGACGTCATCAGAGAACACAGCGTTAGCATTCACACAGACCGTCATCAGAGAACCAGTGTTAGCATTAGCACAGGACGTCATACAGAGAACAGGTGTTAGCATTAGCACAGACGTATCTGAGAACAGTGGTCTGCCACTCATCAGAGAACCAGGTTAGCATTAGCACAGACGTCATCAGAGAACAGTGTTAGCATTAGCACGACGCATCAGAGAACAGTGTTAGCATTGCACCGTCTAGGCTTAGCCAGTTAGCACAGACGTCATCAGAGAACAGTGTTAGCATTAGCACAGACGTCATCAGAGAACAAAAGTAGCTTAGCATTAGCACAGACGTCATCAGAGAACAGTGTTAGCATTAGCACAGAACGTCATCAGAGAACAGTGTTAGCATTAGCCACAGACGTCATCAGAGGAACAGTGTTAGCATTAGCACAGACGTCATCAGAGAAAAACAGCGTTAGCATTAGCAAGACTCATGAGAAACAGCTGCTTACATTAGCCAGACGTCATGCAGAGAAACAGTGTTAGCATTGAGCATAGACGTCATCAGAGAATACAGTGTTAGCATTAGTTAGACATCATGAGAGCATAACAGCACTATTATGCATTATGCATCATGAGAAAACAGCATTAGCATTAGCAATAGAACATAATGAGAAAACAGTGATTAGCATTTGCATAGACATCATGAGGTAGAACCGCATTAGCATTAGCATAGACGTCATCATGAGAAAACAGCATAGCCTAACTTTGCAAATTACTTCATGAGAAATACACTGTTAGCATTAGCACGGTCGGCATCATGAGAACAGCGTTAGCATTAGCACAGACGTCATCAGAGAACAGTGTTAGCATTAGCACAGACGTCATCAGAGAACAGTGTTAGCATTAGCACAGACGTCATCAGAGAACAGTGTTAGCATTAGCATTAGCATTAGCACATCCTGAAGGTACCTCGGGCAGCAGGAAGTCCTCGACCCCGGGCTCCAGACCGTGTTTGAGGCTGCTGTTGATCTGTTTGGCGTTCTGCACCTGGAGCAGAGACGTTTGATTCAATTCAATTATTTTATCTTCACCTCAGACTGAGACAGATCCACTTCAGTTTAGAGCTTTAGTTTAGAGCTTTAGTTTAGAGCTTTAGTCTAGAGCTTCAGTTTAGAGCTTTAGTCTAGAGCTTCAGTTTAGAGCTTTAGTCTAGAGCTTCAGTTTAGAGCTTTAGTTTAGAGCTTTAGTCTAGAGCTTTAGTCTAGAGCTTTAGTCTAGAGCTTTAGTCTTAGAGCTTTAGTCTAGAGCTTCAGTTTAGAGCTTTCAGTTTAGAGCTTTTCAGTAGAGCTAGAGCTTTAGTTAGAGCTTTAGTTTAGAGCTTTAGTTTAGTAGCTTTAGTTAGCAGTTTTTAGAGTTTAGTTTAGGATTCAGTTAGAGCTTAGTTTAGTTTAGCTTTAGAGACTTTAGCTTTTTAGTGCTTTAGCTGCAGTTTAGAGGACTTCAGTTTAGAGACTTCGTTTAGACTTCAGTTTAGAGCTTTAGTTTAGTGCTTCGTTTAGAGCTTTCGTTTAGAGCTTCAGTTCAGGCTTTAGCTATGAGCTTTAGCTTTAGAGCTTCGGTCTAGACTTTGTTGGGCTTTAGTTTAAGATCTTTCTGGCTCTTTAGAGCTTCGTTTAGGTGCTTCAGTCTAGAGCTCTGTTTAGGCTTTGTTTGGATCTCAGTTTCAGAGCTTCAGTTAGAGCTTACGTTTAGAGCTTCTATCTAGGCTTTAGTTTACGCTTTGTTTAGAGTTCAGCTTTGAGCTTCAGTTTAGAGCTTCAGTTTAGAGCTTTAGTCTAGAGCTTTAGTTTAGAGCTTTAGTTTAGCGCTTCAGTTTAGAGCTTCGTTTAGAGCTTCAGTTTAGAGCTTTAGTGCTTGAACTTTAGTTAGAGCTTTAGTCTAGAGCTTTCAGTTTAGAGCTTCAGTTTAGAGCTTTAGTTTAGAGCTTCAGTTTAGAGCTTCAGTTTAGAGGCTTTAGTTTAGAGCTTTAGTTTAGAGCTTTAGTTTAGAGCTTGGTTTAGAGCTTCTGTTTAGAGCTTTAGTCTAGCTTTAGTTAGCACTTTGTTTAGAGCTTCTGTTTAGATCTTCAAGTTAGTGCTTTAGTTTTAGAGCTTCAGTTTAGAGATTCAGTTTAGAGCTTTAGTTAGTGCTTCAGGTATAGTGGCTTCCAGTTTAGAGCTTTAGTTTAGTGCGTTTGTTTAGAGCTTTAGTTTAGAGCTTCAGTTTTAGTGCTGTAGTTTAGAGCTTCTGTTTAGAGACTTCAGTATGCCACATGTGACTTTGAGGGGGACTTCGGACAAACCGAGCAAAGTTTATTTTGTTTCTCTGGCTGTTAGGACTTTTGCCAGCGTACATAACAATACTCTCTCTCTGGTCTCTCTCGCTCTGGTCTCTCTCTCTCTGGTCTCTCTCTCTCTGGGTCTCTCTCTCTTCTGGTCTCTCTCCGCTTACTGGTCTCTCTGCTCTCTGGGTCTCTCTCTCTCTCTTGGTCTCTCTCTCTTGGGTCTCTCTCTCTGGTTCTCTCTCCTCTCTGGTCTCTCCTTCTGGTCGCTTCTCTGTGTCTTCCGCGACCACCAGGTCCTGTCCACTCAGAAGACTGTAGAAGGGGTAGCAGCAGTAGTAGTTAGAGGACTTTGCTGTATCCTGGGGGACTTCAACGTTCATTGTAGTTGCAGTACTTGTAATAGCCGTTGTAATTGATGGTAGCAGTGACACTTGTCGAGAGGGGTGATACTGGAACGCCCGGGGAACGGCCCGCCCATGTGGGAAACGCCAGTGACACTTGGAGAATCGGGAAGAGCCCCCTGATCTGAACCCGAGCGGTGTTCAGTTGGTTTGGACTTCTGTGCAGTCACAGTTTGTCCCATCACGAACATCCATGTTAGAGCACAAGGGGTTGGTCCACACCAGTGCACGTGGCACCAGGACACCTAGGCCGGCGGGACGATGATCGACTATGTTGTCGTATCATCTGACCTTCGACCGCGTGTCTCGGACACTGCGGGTAAAGAGAGGGGCGGAGCTGTCAACCGATCATCACCTGGTCGTGAGTTGGATCCGCTGGCAGGGGAAGAAGCGGTCAGACCTGGCAGACCCAAGCGTATAGTGAGGGTTTGCTGGGAAGTCTCGCTGAGCCCCCTGTCAGACGGACTTTCAACTCACACCTCCGGGAGAGCTTCTCCCAGGTCCCCGGCGGAGGAGGGGGACATGGGAGTCCGAGTGGACCATGTGTTCTCTTCCTCTATCGCCGATGCGGCGGCTCGTAGCTGTGGTCGCAAGGTCTCTGGTGCTGGTCCCAGGCTGGCAACCCCCGAACCCGGTGGTGGACACCGGCAGTAAGGGATGCGTCAGGCTGAAGAAGGAGTCCTATCGAGCCATGATGGTTCGTGGGACTCCTGAGGCAGCTGTCCAGTACGGCAGGCCAAACGTTGCCGCGGCCCGGGCTGTTGCAGAGGCAAAAACCCGGGAGTGAGGAGGAGTTCGGAGAGTCCATGGAGCTATGACTATCGGTCGGCCTCGAAGAGGTTCTGGCAAACCGTCCGGCGCCTCAGGAGGGGGAAGCAGTTCTTTGCCAACACCGTGTATGGTGCGGGTGGAGGGCTGCTGACCTCGACTGGGGATATTGTGGGGCGGTGGAAGGAATACTTCGAGGTTCTCCTCAATCCCCCGTCACGTGTCTCGTCCAGGAGGCAGAGGCTGAGGATGTTGGGGCGGATACTTCCATCTCCCTGGCAGAGGTCACCAAGGTGGTTGGCAGCCTCCATGGTGGCAAGGCGCCGGGCGGGAGTGG